CAAGAGCCACACTGTTTCAAACTGGTGCTGTGTCTCCACTGGCGAAGGGAATACAAACTCAGGCACCCCTCCTACACGGACAGAGAAACTTCATAAGGGAGATGTTTGACAGGTAAGGTGTGCAAAGGAAGCATTTTTCTCAAAAATGATTCTGAAAAACCGGTCTCACACACACGGCCTTGGGAAAATATTCTAAAGTAGGGTGAAAATGCACTAATGCAAAGGTAGAAGAAATGATTTCCACTATATAAAAATTAGTATCTACTTAAGAAAGGACACTCTAAGGAAAGAACAAAGACCAGCCAGACTGGAAGAAGGGTAGAACATATGGCTGGCAAAGAATGACATCCAGAATATATAAAGACCCTTACAATGCAACAAGGAAAAAGCAACACAAGAGAAAAGCTGAAATTGTTACCCCCAGGAATGTGTGTGTGTGTGTGTGTTTGTGTGTCTGTGTGCATGTGTGCTAGCAGACATGTACAGAGGAACGTTCGTAGAGGCAGTATTGATACAACAAAAGAAAACATTTTTTAAAAATCTCAAATGTTCACAAGTAGCCAATAGGAGGGAATGAGAATGTGCCAATAAGTTCATTCAATGGGAACCATATAGCAATGAAAATGCCCAACTCACATCGAGGCACCTGCAGGAGTGAATCTGGGGAACATAGTTTTTTAAAAAAGATTTTATCCTCATTTATTTGACAGAGAGAGAGAGAGAGAGAGAGAGAGAGAGAGAGAGAGCAAGCACAAGCAGGGGGAGCAGGAGTTGGAGAAGCAGACTCCCTGCTCAGCAGGGAGCCCGATGTGGGACTTAATCCCAGGACCCCAGGATCTGGACCTGAGCCCAAGGCAGATGCTCAACCAATTGAGTCACCCAGATGCTATGGGGAACATAATTTGGACTGAACAGAGCAAGTAGCAGAAAATCCAATGTAATTTCATTTTTATGAAAGTCAAAAACACTCAAAATGAAATATATGGTTTTTAAGAAGATAGGGTGTGAAAAAAAAATGAACTGTAGGGATGGGGCATATTTTGCACAATGCAGCTGCAAGTGGGGTGGATTGGGGGTGGGGCTGGCTGGGAACACAGGAATGGTGGGGTGCTGGTTCTCTTCTTCCTTAAGCTGAGTGAAGACACAGAGTGAGGCCTTTTCTTTAAATTATTGCTCTCCACACCCAGCACAGCTGGTATAAGCAATTACTTTGCATATCTCCAATACTCAAGATGAAAACAAGAAAAAGTTTGTAGGTTTTTGCTGTTAAGAAAAAAAAGCTCCAGTATAGATTCCTACAAATACTGAGCAAACCTTGAGCCTACACTCATGATAATCAACCGAATTCTACTAAACATGTGCTTTACAACCAAGAATCATAACATTTGAGAAGAATCCATAAGGAGATAGGAAAAGGGGGGAATGGAGGAGAAAGTAGGTGGCCAGTGCACACACATCTGAGGAGAGCCAGCGGAGGCAGGTCCGGGAGCAATCACCCGAGGTAGAAATGGAACCCGTGAGTGCTGGAAACCTCGTGTAAAAGCGTAGATGGAAACTTCTCAACATCCTTCTGACACCCAGGGATTCAGGCAGATGGCTGATGAACTCCCATGGAAAGGGTGCAGTCAACTGAAAAAAGACTTCCCAGAAATTCACACACACACACACACACACACACACACACACACACACACACACACACACAAATGGAATGTGTCTGTTAAATAATTGGACGTAACTGATGAAAAAAATAAATGATCTAGAAGATACAACCGAGGAAATCAACCATGAATCCGGGAACAAAGATGGGGTGTGTGAGAGAGAAGTGCTTGGGGAGATGCACCCATTTGTTTAGTGCCTGACGGGTGCCAGGTGGTACGCGCGGGACTGATAAGGGCTACTTTAGTCTTCAGGCAGCCTAGGAGGATGTGAATGTGTCCCTTTCCCAGTTTCCTCTGCGTGTCAAAGGATTTTTATATTTTTTAGAGTTAGGGTTGACTTTTATCAAATAATTTTATTAAATCTATGGAGGTAAGTAATTTTCTCCTTTATACTGTTGATGTGGATTGCTACATTCTGATATTGAAACACATCTGCATTCCTTTTTTGCTTTGTAGAGAGAGAATGAGTGCAGCAGTGGAGGGGGCAGAGGTAGAGAGAGAGAATATGAAGGAGGCTCCACGCCCATGTGGACCCAAAGTGGAGCTTGATCTGATGACCCTGAGATTATGACTTTTTATTTTTATTTTATTTATTTATTTATTTTTTATTTATTTACGATAGTCATACAGAGAGAGAGAGACAGAGACACAGGCAGAGGGAGAAGCAGGCTCCATGCACCGGGAGCCCGACGTGGGATACGATCCCGGGTCTCCAGGATCGCGCCCTGGGCCAAAGGCAGGCGCCAAACCGCTGCGCCACCCAGGGATCCCAGAGATCATGACTTGAGCTGAAATCAAGAGTCAGATACTTAACCAACTGTGCCACCCAGCTGAGCACCGCCACTTTTTTAAAAAACACACTTGCATCCCTGATAGATATCCTATTGGTCATGGTAACTTTTTTGTCTCTACGTTTTTTTATTATTAATTCTGCACTTGGTTTTCTAATGTTTCCTTTGATTTTGTACATGTATTTGTAAGTGAAATCGGCCTATAATTTCTTGCCTGGTTTTCTAGCCTCATAAACCGAATTAGGAAGTGATCTCCTTTTACTACTTTTTATTCCCTGTAGGGATTTGTTGAGGATTATTTTTACTTGAAGATTTATTAACTCACCCATAAAACCATTGGGTCCTGATATTGTTTTTTTGGTGGAGGCTAATTAGTGGCTCTCATTTTAATTTCTTTAATGGTTATTGCTCTACTCATATTATCCATTTTGTTCTGAGGTCAGTTTAGGTAATTTACATTTATCTAGAGAACTGTTCATCATCCATATTTGTAAATACATTGGCATAGGTTTTGTGGTCATCTCCTGATAACGTTTACAATCTCTTTCGTATCTCTGTGATAAGTCCTCAAAGATTTTTATCAATATATCAATAGATCCCTTTCTTTTTTTAATTTTTATTTATTTTTAAAAGATTTTTATTTATTCATGAGAGAGAGAGAGAGAGAGAGAGAGACAGGCACAGGCACAGGCACAGGCACAGGGAGAGGCAGGCTCCATGCAGGGAGCCTGATGTGGGACTCAGTCCCGGGTCTCCAGGATCATGCCCTGGGCTGAAGGCGGCGCTAAACCACAGAGCCACCCAGGCCGCCCCCCCTTTCTTTTTTTTAAATATTTACTTATTTATTTGAGGAGGATAGGGGAGAGAGAGAGGAAGAGAGAATCTCCAGCAGACTCCATGCTGAGTGGGGAGCCCAACATGGGGCTCTATCTCACAACCCTGAGATTGTAACCTTAGCCAAAGCCACGAGTTGGGCACTTTTTTTTTTTTTTTAGTTGGGCACTTATCTGCACCATTCAGGTGCCTCTCAGTTGGTCCCTTTCTCTGTTTTTCTCTCCTTCTCTCTCTGTCTCTCTGAACACCATGATTTAGTGGTGAATGGTACATGGTAGAGGAAAACTCACAACAAAGATTCTCTCCTGGACAGACTTTAGTCAGGTTCTCTGAGTCTCTTCCTTGACTAGGCCTGACCATGTGCTTTAGGTTCAGACTGAACGAGAAACCTGCTAAGTCAGTTGAGCCAGAATCCTCCACCCTTGCTATCTGACCAAATTCCTCATGTCCCAGCATCCCATACGTAGTCTGTGATCACTCTGGCCTGTCTTCAGTAAAAGCCCTGTTGGGTCAGTTTAGCAAGAATTACTCTACCTTCCTGGTAACTTTCCATCCACTGACCGTCACTTGGTGCTGCCCCTTGGCTATAATTCCCCACTCTTCTTGTTTTTGAAGTGGAGTCCAATCTGTCTCCCCCACTGCAAACTCACTGTAGTAGGCTGCCTCAACAAAGTGTGCCTAACTGTCCTAATGAGTGTTGGAATACTTTTTTTGGTAACACATGGAAACAAATAATGACAATATGATTGATGAGGGCTAGAAGAAAGTGCATGACAGGAGCTCTGTGGTTTCTAGGTAATCACTCAGGGGCATTTAAAGGTTTAAGAATTTGGAAAATATTGAGAATAGTGAGAAGATGTTATTTAGAGTGGACCAAAAGACTGGGGAAATAACAGGTGGGGGAGACTGAGAGAAATTACCCCATCAGCATGGGCAAAGCAAGTGAGGACCCCACAGAACAAGTGTCAGAAGAGCTGAGATCTAATAAGCATTTCAACATTTTATGTCCAAAAGGTAGCTCTTTGGTAAATTTCCCCCCAAGTGTTTTCCCCTAAAATACTCAGTTTCCCAGGTCACAAACTGGAATCAATATTCCCTCTGTGTTGAACAAGCCCAAAGCTTCAGAAAGAGCAGTGAGGGCTTGCATTCTGGATGCACTTTTCTTCCTTTTCTTTTACTTTTTTAGTTTATTTTAGGGAGAGAGCTCATGAAAGTAAGTAGTGAGGAGGGAGTGTGAAGGGACAGAGGGAGAGGGAGAGAATCTAAAGCAGACTCCCTGCTGTATATGGAGCCTGACGTGGGGCTGGATCCCACGACCCTGAGATCATGACCTGAGCTGAAATCAAGAGTCAAATGCTTAATGGACAGGGCCACTCAGATGACCCAATGGATGGACTTTTCAAGTGTGTGTGGGGACATGGGGGGTTCGATGGATGCCTTTCCAGAACTCTGTGATGGGGAAGTTTGTCCTGGGAGTTCTGATTGCTGTATTATCAGGAAACCTGTCAGTGGGAGATACTTTCAACACAGCAGGGGCTGTTCCAAAACAGGAGTGATAATATTTTTGATCAAAAACGAGAGTTCTGGGTGAAGCAGTGCAATGGATGTTCCTCATAGCTAACTGTGGTAGAGGAAATAGGATAATTCATTCACTATTCCAGTATTTCCATGAATTAGTTGACAGGAAAATCCAAACCTTTAACCTTTGTTTCAGAAGCAACAAGTGAACATCATCAACAGAAAGAAGGCAGCTGATGGTCCGTTGTCAGCATGACTCTTTGGTCCAGATGATGCTTCCAGTCTCTTGGGGTATGACCCCTGCCAGTGGGGTCGCAGAAACCTAGACTGAATTCCACTCATCAGAAGGAACGTTGTACACTAGGACCCCCAGAGTCAGGTAGGTGCCCTGGAGGTGAGCTGTGTTCAAAATCTGAGCCCAACCATTTTTCTGGTTTGCTGGTCACCAGAGAAACCTGACCATGTTCCCTAGGCCCTGGCACTGCCCTGTCAGCTGTATCTTTCCATCTGTGCAGAATCCCATCATGAGCCCAAGGGTTCCGCAGGGCGTGGTTGGTCACAAGGCTTCAAGGAGGAGCCACCACTGACTCTGTGAGCTGGCAGCTGTGTGCCGGGAGGCGGCACATGGACTGGGGTCACCCCCACAGATGTTACTGGTTCCTGTTCTCCTTCCTGATTGTGTGAAGACAGATGGTGTTTACAGGGAGAAGGAGGGATGAGTCTTCTGACTACAGGAGTGTTTGCTTCTGTCACTACCCTGGTGGTGGTGGACCTTGATTTGTGTTTCTTTTGGTTTTGTTCTTTTAGTATCTTCAAGCTCCACAAGGAAAGGAAACAAAAGATCCTCGGGACAAAATGTAGGTTGGATTACTACTGTCTTTGTAGTTGGGCCCGTGAAGCACAGACATGCCAGTAATCTTGACAGCACACAGAATACAAGCAAGACCGAAGGATGTGGGTGGTGAATGTGCCCCAACCAGTGACTCTGTGACTCTGTAGCTGCAACATCCAGGCTGTTCTGGCCCCCAGCAGGGCTGCAGTCACACAGCACCACAGGCTGCAGGACAGAAAGGTGTTGCTCCAGCTGGGGCCTCACTCCGGTCCATGCATCTTGTCAGCACAATTTGTGAATCCTAGAGTTTCATAGATCAGAAGCCAATGATATAGCCAATGATCACCCAAAATAATCTGTTTATTTATTTATTTATTCATTCATTCATTTATTTAGGAGAGCGAGAAAGGGAGAGAGCATGGGCATGAGGATGCAGAGTAAGGGAGCAGAGGCAGAAGGAGAGAGAGAATCCCAAGCCGACTTTCCACTGGGGGCAGAGCCTGACACATGGCTCCATCCCAGGAGCCCTCAACCATGAGCTCAAAACCAAGAGCCACCCAAGTGCTCTGATAATCTCCCCATTTAAGGGCCAGATTAACACCTTTAATTCCCCATTGCCATGTCCAGTCACGCATTCACAGGCTGGGGAGCAGGCATGGACATCTCTGGGTGCAACTCTTCTGCCTACCGCACTCAGTTTCCACTGTCTCCTCTCTGGGGCCCTCTCCACCTGGTAAGCAGAGCGATACCACTGGAACAGCATCATGTAAGATAGATCATGTCACTTCTGGAAAATCAATCAATCCAAAAACAGTCTCTTTACAGACTTCTAGTGGCCCCATCAAATAAGGCACATAGTCCCTCATGTGGCCCCCGGAGCCCTGCATGATGGGTCCCCCAGGCTTCAGGCACACTGGCTTCTCCAGGATAGGGGGCAGGTGGGTGTGAATAGGGAGGGTGGGTCTCCCCAGCCTTTCACTCATGGAGAGATATTTCATTTCTTTTTATTGTGTGGTGAGGTCATGAAGAGTTAAGCCTCTGGGTCATTTTCTCCCTGAAGACCTCCTCCATGTAGCTCTTTAGATGTTGTGCTAGCCTTCCTGTGATCATCGGCTCAGCACGTTCCAGCAGCTTTATGGACTCGGCCTCTACCTTAGTGAAACAAGCCTGTGAGTGGTTGATCCAGCTGGACCAAAGAATAACAGAATCTGTGATTACACCCTTGTCTGAAGTCCCCACTGTGGGAGGATGGCGAATAGTAGCTATTACCATATTGAACTATGATCCTTTTCTGCTATATTTTGAGGGGGGCTCAAAACCACTAGTAGTATTTTTGTCTCTAGGATTCAAGGTACCTCTTACATAACTGATGCCATATTTTGGTTTCGTTTTTTAAATTGTGATATAATTGACACACAATGTTATTGTAGTTTCTGGTACAACAGAACTAGTATTGAACAGAAAGCCTAGTTAATACCTGTTACCACACATTACAAAATTTATTTTTCTTGTGATAAGAACTGTTAAGATCTACTCTCTTAGCAACTTTCAAATATGCTAAAAAGTGTTATTAACTGTAGTCCTCATGCTGTGCATTACATCCCCAAGAACTTTCTTATATTATAATCAGGTGTTTGTACCTTTTGAGGATCTTCACCATTACGTTTCCCATCCCACTCTGCTTCTGGCAACCACCTGTTTATTCTCTGTATCTGTGAACTTGTTTTTTTTTATTTTTGTTTTTATGATCCACATATAAGTGAGGTCATATGGTATTTGTCTTTCTCTAAATTATTTCATTTATCATATTGTTCTGAAGGTCTATATATGGTGTCACAATTGGCAAGATTTCCTCCTTTTAATTAATTAATTAATTAATTAATTAATTAATTTATTTATTTATTTTAGAGGGAGCACATGTAAGCAGGAGTGCCACAGAGCCAGGATAGTTGGATGTGAACATATGAAGAAAGACTCAGAATCTCACTGAATTTTCATCCGAGACCTGGACTCAGACCCTGAGGCTGCGGCAGGAGGCGCGGGAGCAGCAGCAGCGGCAGGTGGAGGAAGAAGCCCGGCAGGCCAGAAAGGCCCAGGCCTGGGCGCAGCTCAAGGAGCAGGAAGTGCTGCAGCTGCAGGAGGAAGCAAAAAATTTCATTACCCGAGAGAACCTGGAGGCACGGGTGGAAGAAGCATTGGACTCGCCACCGAAGAGCTACAATTGGGCCATCACCAGGGAAGGGCTGGTGGTCAGACCACAGCATAGGGCTCGTAAGGGTCCAGTAAGGACAGTGCCCACCCAGGGACCATGTGTGTATGGGGTAGGAGGGTTGGGCCTGATCTGGAATAGATCTGTTGATGCTGCTTAGGAAGAAGGAGGCTCAGCCTATTCCAGTGTCCTCCTCACATTCTTCCCTGCACCCACCACCTGGTTGGCAGTTCCCATACATACTGTCCTGTTCTACACCCATGTACGAAGCAGCAAAGCAGCAGACCTTAGAGGTTTCCAGCTCACAGTGGCGCAGAATGGACCACATTCCCCTCGATCAACTAGGTCATTTACTAAGTGTCATCAAGGACATGGACAGAGGTTGGCAAATTACAGTCCTTTGGCCCAATCTGTCCTACTGCCTGTTTTTGTAAATAAATTTTATTGGAACACACACACACACACAAAAATGGACTCAGACCCATTGCTTTGTCACTTCCAGCTTTATTAAGAGAGCTAGCAGATTGGCTATAGGAATGATTAACTTTGGGAAGCAGAGAAAAACACTTTAACTTCAAAGGGTAAAAGACTAGGCTATTGACTCAAGGAGGGGGAGTGGAGGAGCTGTATCTGGAGAACAATGTAGTCAAGAGTCAGTGTGCCAACTCAGGTCTTCACGTATCCCCAGGGTGCCCAGGACTAGAGAAGCTCCGCAGCTGGTTCCCCATGCAGGGCGAAGGGCAGAGGGAGACAGGGAGAGAATCTCAAGCAGACTCTGAGCTGAGCTAAGCTGAGCTGAGCACAGAGCCCAATGTGGGGCTCAATTTCAAGATTCTGAGATCATGACCTGAGCTGAAATCACGAGTTAGACATTTAACCAACTGAGCCACCAGGTGCCCCCAAATATCCTTCCTTTAAATAACTGAATAATATTCTGGGGCACCTGGGTGGCTGAGTCGGTGAAGCATCTGCCTTTGGCTTGGGTCATGATCCTGGGTTTCCTGGGATCCACCACTGTGTGGGCTCCCTGCTCAGAGGGGAGTCTCCTTCTCCTTCTCCCCCTCTCCCCACTCGAGCTTTCTCTCTGTCAAAGAAATAAAATCCTTTAATAATAATTATTTAAAATAGCTGAATAACATTCCATTTTACATACATACCACATTATCTTTATCGTTTCATCCATGAATGGACACTTGGAATTCTTTGCTTTAGTTTTACAGGTTAGGATAAAGAGGACTGATTCGCAAAGCTCCTGTAAACCACAATGTGGCAACGATCTGTCCTACTGGTGGAATCAGTAGAATTATACTATTTTGGGAAATGTTTCTCAGATTCCCAGGGTTCTTGAAAATGACATAGGGGGAATTTTGGGAATAGAGATTTCTGGCGTGTATGTTCCTGTGGCCAAGTCTGCAATAAATACTTTCCTCTGAGTGGGAGGAGCTGCAGGAGTGTGGGCAGAAGGTGTGGGTGGGTCACTCTAGCACTGGGCAGGCAGGAAGATTAAGAAGAGGGATTCAATACAACAGGAACCCTCGCTTATTTGATATGGAGTCCTACCATGAATCCTTGAATGTAAAATTAGTATTCACTGAATGAGTCTCAAATTCCCTCAACCTCAGATATCGCATGTGTGCAGGGGCTTCACACACACACACACACACACACACACACACACACACACACACCTCAGAACCTCCAGGATCCTCGGCAGCTCCAGGCAGGCAGCTGCAGTGTAGGAATGGCCCATATGATGTCCCTGGGGCAGGTGTCTCTGAGGAGTGGGGACCTGCATGGAGGCTGGAGGACACCGTGGAGCTGGGTGCTGACACACAAGGGGGAAGCAGCATTGTGCCCAACAGAGCACATCTCTCTGCAGTAGCTGTGCACACAGGGTCCCCGGGGCCAGGCTGCCAGTGTCTTGGCCCCAATAGGAAACCTGTACTAGGCTGTGGAATTTGTAGTCTGGGTCCCAAATGGTTGGTTGGGATGGAAGTTGCTGGGGACATCCAAGGGAAATTTCTAATTCCCAACTCAAAAGCCTATGACTAGAAAATAAGAAAATACCCAGGCAATCACCATGACTTCCCAGGGCAACACTCTCCAGGTTTAAATTAGCAAGAAGTTCCATCATTTTCCTGGTTACTGTCCCACATGTGAATCTGCAGACACGCAGAGTAGCTAACAATTGTCCCTGCATCTCTCCTTTGTTCAGGAGCTGCCATTTCCTGGCAAATGACTGACAGCCTCCAGGTTGGTGGGGACAGAGGTGCGATGACTGCTGGGAAGACCGGGGAGGTCGGGACAGCTGGGCACACTGAGCTGCCCGGGTGTGATGGGGACAAGGAGCTGATGCAGGACTGGCTTGTGGAACAGGACTGAGGTGCCTCGGCTGGAAGCACCAAGGTGGGAAGTGAGCAAATGTTTGCAAGGAAAAGGCTGGATTCTCCAGAGGACAACCTCTCCGTTAGTGAGTCAGCTGCAGCAGCACACGGGCTGGGTCCCACGTGTGCGTCCATCACCTAACCACTGCTACCTCCAGGAATTACAGTCTCCTTACCCACCTGCCCGAACTCACCTGTGCTCCTTCACTGTCCAAGTCTGAAGGGACTTTGGGGTTCTTTCCTGCACTGTAGTCAGAGAGTGGGGAGGCCGAGTTCCCCCCACACAGCCCAGCAATGGTGTCCTGCAGAACCAGGCCAGGTGAGACCTCACTCTCCCGACGTCTGGGGGCCTGACCCAGAGGAGGTGGTGAAGCCTGGATACCACCTACTCCCTCAGGCCCTGAGAGATCCTGTGCCCTGGTGAATGCCATACTTCTCCTGATTCTTCCAGGTAAGAAGGTTCTTGAAATACCCAGGAAGCCCTTCTGGAATGTTCCACAGAAGCCCTGCCAAGGCCCATAACACAGATCCTTTAGGGACACAGGCTCACAGTCATTCCCCCAGGGCCCGTACGTGGGACTGGGGCATCTGAGAGTCCAGCCTACATTGCCTGCTGTCCCTGCACCATCCCCTCGCCAATGCCTTGGACCTGAGGTTGGTTCCAGGTCACCAGCCCATTCTGACATCCTCTCATCGGAGGTTCTTCTCTGGGGACCCCTATTTCTGTCCCAGGAACTTCACCCTGAGTGAATGTAAAGAGTATTTGAGGGTTGGTGGTTTTGGCAGCGAAAACACAATTGTCTCAGGAGATGGGAAAGGTGGACGAGAGTTCAGGGAGGGCCGTGGGTGCCCCCTCGTGGATTGCTCCTGCAGATGGAAGAGCAGAGCGCCCTGGAGAGGAGACTGTGGGGCTCAGCCTGGACAAAAGGGACATTCAGGTTCCCAAGGAGGCGTATTGAACAGAGATTCATTTATGGCCGCCCAGGGCTCACCACCTGGAAGACTGGTTTTGCAAAGTGGGTAACCACAAATCAGAAGGGCACCCACCAGGTTATACTGGCAAGTCGGCTGAGGGAGAACTGTAGACATTGGGACGTAGAAACACGCATGAGCACAAATCTGTATGCGATGTCCTTAGACGGTGTTCGCTGATGTTCTCACCATTTGAGGGGCATCTTAGCAATGAATGCGCAGTTTGGAAGAAATCTCAAGAAGGACATGAGGGGCACCTGCGCGCCTCGTTTGGCGGACTCTTCATTTCAGCTCTGGTCGTGATCTCAGGGGTGAGACCCAGCCCCCAGTGGGGGGCTTGCTTGCTTAAGATTCTCTCTCTCCCTCTGGCCCCCTCCTTTCCCCTCACTTCCCAGGCACAGGTGCTCTTTCTCTCTCTCTCTCAAGTACATTATATCCCAGGAGTGTCTCTGTATCTTCAGAATCATATACTTTGGCATCATTCCCTAAGTATGAGTCTACACTCCACAAAATGGACTTTAGTCAAGGACTGGCCAGTGTTGGTCTGGTTCCCAGCACCTGTGGGCTGGCAGCACCCTGCCCTTCAACCGTGGGTCCCCTCTGAACCACGGGAGCCTCTGATGCTCCACCATTTAGAGGAGTGCTTTATCAATGTCCTCACCAAGCACCCGCCCACCTCTGGACTCTGCGGGGCTGGTGGCACAGGCAGCTGATTGGCAGGTGTGCCCCCCAGGCACCCCCAAGTGGCTGAATCCCAGCCATCACCAGAACCTCTGGCTCCTGGCCACAGGCAGTGTCCACAGATTGAGAAGTTCTGAAAGCACCGACCCGCACTCAGCTCTCACCGGCAGCAGGTTGGAGCTCCGGAGCACAGCCCGCACCGGTTCTGCCCCGACCCCATGACCACCCAACAAGATGCAGCTGGATGGGACACGCAATCCCAGAACATGGGGGGCACCTCGGCTTGGAGGCGCTTTCTCAGGAGGCTTCCCTGATCCTATAACTGAGCCCTTCTCTCCAACACAAAGACCGTTATGTGAGGCTCAGGGTTTGGTCAGTTGGAGGCCCCAAGAGGGCCCAGACGTCTGTGCCAGGGAGGCGGTGGAGGCGGTGCTGAGGCAGGGGAGGGGCGAAGACAAGGTTTGTCAAGATACCACCTGGGAGAGCAGTGCGGGGAGCCAGGGTGCAGGCCATCCGCCACTACGCCCCTGATGAGAGATGGGACGGTCTTCTCCTTGGGCCCAGTGTGTCCTCTGAACAGACACTGCACCAGCCACAATGTCAGGGAGGATGAGACGGCAGCCAGGCCTGTGTCCAGGCGTCCCTGTCTGCACCCAGTAAGAGTAGGTCAATAAACACGGATGAAGGCGATAAGGAAAACTTAGAAGCACATCAGCCACGTGTAACACCTGGCGGTCAGAGCCCCTTCGCTGTAGACCCAGGGCCCTGGCATCAGCATGGGGGGAGGCCACCGAGTGGGAAAGGCCATCCCTTTAGCCTGTGGGGCCTCTACCCCCTCCTAGATTCAGGAGGGAGGACAGGGGCCTCTTTCAGTTAGAGGCCGGACCCCATTCATTCCAGAACATTGACACCCCCTCCCACCTACATCTTGTGAATGACTTCTCTCCCCAGAGGGCCTGGGTGGGCAACCTGTGTCCCTCCTCTGCTCTCAGAGAACTGACCTGGCACAAATTCTGGATCACACCCCAGGTGGACTTATCACCAGGGGAGGTCAGAGCCCTACCCTGACCTCAAAAGATGTCAGGTGGCAACTCCTCATCCTGAGGGCCTCTGGTCTGTGGGGACACCTGCTCATTCCTTGAAATCTCGAGGACAGAGAGCTTCTTCTGTGGAGCACATCCCTGAGTGGATAATTCTCCTGACACAGTATCGGGAATCTTCTGGACAGTGCCAGTGCTCTCCCTGGGCTCACCCTGCCCTGGGATGGACTCAGGCAGTCTAGGACCCACAGGAACCAGGACCCAGGCTGACCAGTCCCTCACCCCTGCCCAGGGCTCAGAGCCACTCACATCCTTTGGAGCCTCCTTAAGATCCTGGTGCAGCCCCCGGCATCGATACAGGGGTGACATAGTGACATGCAGACAACACCCAGGAAACCAAACCCTGAAGCTGGCTTTGGCTAAGGAGGTGGAGGAGGAGCTAATTTCCATCTGTTTCTCCAACAGACCCCCTGGTCCTTCCCACATGCCTGTTCTGTCCTGCTTACTGCATCTAGGGCCCTAGGAGCACCCCAATCTGTCAGGAGTCCCTGTGCAGCCTACACTCTGCCTGGCAACAGACAATGGGAGACGCAGCGTGACCACAGAAGGGTTTCCCAGGCAGACAACAGAGGATGCACAGGATTCTGAATCACATGGACAGTCTCTGGGCCAAGTTCTGCTCACAGACACTGAGAGGGA